CCCACCGAAAGCAATGAGTTTTCTACCAGTGTAACTACCTGATCAGGGTCAGACAAGCGCTGCCACCCCCATCACAAAAGAGCTAGGAGAGCTAAGGGGGACAGGGGCAGTCCCAACCACAGACACGGCCATGCTGGGGTTTTTAAAATGCTGCTTAGTAGCTGCTGTGCTTCACGGGAAGATGGTTAAAATCAGATATTCACAATGTTAAATAAAGGCAAAATGTTTTAACTACTGTGATGGGCTGGCGGTTTTCCTGTACAAAGACATTTTGAGGTCACTTTTACAATTTGGAAATTCTATAAAATTTTAAAACTGAAGCTTCTCTCCCGTTCTTTGAAAACTCATTTGTCTGTGATGAGAATAACAACGCGGCTCAGTTGCTGTCTACTTGTTTTGCTAACCAGTGAACATACTTCCAAAAGAAATGGTAAAACAGAAAGGTTTTCATTTCATACTGGGAGGAAAAAAAAAACCCTCAAATACACTCGCATGTCATTTGCCTAAATCTTGTTTGGACAGCTTGCACGGCTCACAATCTTGCTGTTATCATTTCCTCCTCTGAATTAGAACGAGAGCAGGAAGATAAATACAATACTACAATATACAGCTCGATACTGGAGAAGATCACTCTGCTGCGACATGCCCTGCACTTTAGCTCTAACACAATGATATGGTTATCTAAGGTTTGAGGAGACTGAACAGCCTGTAATAAATTAACACGCTTTTCCTTTTGGAGATAGTGTCCGGAGCTGAAAAATAACTTCAATTCACCGTGCTGCTTTAGTTATTTCCCCTCCAATATCTGGTGTTTTCTCCCCTCTGATCCCCACACCAGACTTGTGGGAGCAGCGACACACTTGCCCTGCGCAGGCAGAGCAACATGAACAGGAACCAAGCACTGGGGTTAAGATCTAGTGAGAAAAGCCCAGAGAGGTACTTTGTCTGCAGCTTCAAATACAACACTATAAAAGACAACTTGCAGCAACTCCTATTTTTAAGTTTCTCAAAGGAGCTCTGAGATCATTTTAAGCCCACTGTCTGTTAAGACACTTGACATCCAGAAAGGAGAACAGGCTCCGGCTGCAGAAGCATTTTTTCCTTTCTTCCAAACCTACATTTAAAGTGTCACTGGCACAGCGAGGACAGGGAGAGACACAGAGCTTGGCGTTTCATTTGGGGAGTTTGGGGGTTTTTTAACTGACCCAGCTACAAGCCTGGCGCCTGGCTACAGCTTCAGCTTCCCCTGAAACCAGCCGCTTGTGTGGCCTACTGCTGAATTGGCAAAAGCTACCTTTGCAAAACCACTTTTGCCAGAACACCTTTTTCTGTTTGCATTAAAGAGGCAAAAATGTAGATAAAGCTTTTGCCAATGATATCTTGGTCTATTATTACGAAGTGATAAAATAAACTACCATTTCGTCAGTGTTCTAGCTCTCCAGTGCAAGAGTAGAATTTGCTCCTCACAAAGGAACTCAATGGTAGGTGAATAAGCATGAGGAGAAAAGCAGCGGTGCCCGTTTCAGCTCCTCGATAAGTCATGGGATGTGCAGAACTATAAAAAAAAGTGGGGGAAAAGAGAGGTGGAAAAGACATTTCTACACTGAAAGCACTCCTGGAAAGAAGAGGGGCAATTAAAACACACATGGAAAAGCTTCTCAGTTATGATGACATTACTAAATTCTTTTTTTGTCTTTGGTTACTAAGGGTATCTTTACAGGGAGCATTAAAAAGGGAAAGACCTGGAAAGATTAAAATCCACATGTAGCTGTTCCCTCCCACTTAGCAGACGCTTGTTAATCCTGCAGGTCTTGCTGAAGTGAAAAGACAAATACACAAAAGAAAAGGTGATGGGGAGTGCACACACTTCATCACACACCGGTACTTGACATTACTCTTAGTTCCAGAAAAGTTTTAGGATGCTGGTGACTAATACAACTCACTAATTCTTGGCTGGCTTCAGAAACTCTTCCCATAAGGTCAAGGTCAGGACAAGGTTAGTGCCTTAATAAAAGAGGGAATATGGCATCTTTAATGATTGCTTCTGGCTGTTTTTCTCCTTACCTGTAAGAACGCCACAGTAAGCATTTGCTTTCTTAAAGTGAAGCAGAGCTCTTTGCTTTACCTGCTGACAGACCCTCACTACCCACCGCAGGGCACAGCCAAGGACCTGATGGTGGACCTGCAAGATGGATGTTTTGTGCTGAAGACCACAAATTTAGGGCTGTCTTCACCGGGAAGTTCAGCGAAGATGGAAGATTCCTGTTAGCATGCAATTGCTTAGTACCTTAGATAACCTACTATTTATTTTAATGTTACCCACCTGAGGGCGGCTCTGCTAATGAATCTATTTTTGTAGTACCATAAAGTTTGAAGTTTAGAGCTAAGTTTAGAGCAGAGACATATAAAAAATGTCAAACCAGGAAATAGCTTAATGAAAGCAGAGAGTAATCACAGCAAATTACAGTGAAATTTCTATGGGATTACATTTTGCATTCCCCAAACAAGCAGAGGAATTCATCTCACTTACTGTTGTTCCATTTTGCTGAGAATTCACTGTAAGGATATGCCATACAAGTAACATAATCCAATGCCATAAAAGCTGTCTTAAAAGTTACAGTCTAAGATGCTTTTCAAAATGAAGTTCAGATCTCTTCCCACTGCAGTTCACGGAAAAATAGCAAGATATGCCACAAAATACCACAGAGAAAAAATTTAATGGTAATATTAGAAGGAATACAAGAAACATGTTTTATTATTATTTGTGGCTACTAATAATGAGGTCCCTTTTTAAACTCCAAAGTTTAGAAACCACCCAGCAGTGGATGTGGTAAGGAAGTTCACTCTAGGAGAAGAAAGCTTGTATTCCCAGCATGCTTCCAAAAATCACTGCAGAATTTAATCTCTCCCCACAAGCAAACCCAGGCTTTGCACAAGGAGCATCTAGGAAATACCCTGTGGTCAGCACATCACCCAGCCTTGAACACCTCCTCTGAAACAGTATTTACAGTTTGCATATGCATGTACAGTATACAAACCTCCCACGCTTCAGGTGATCTTTCTTTCACCCAAGCTTTACAGCCCACAGTTCAGTAACAAAATAAAAGTAATTTTCTATCACTTTTTACCATATGTAGTGATTTTCTCTACTTTTCAACAGGTCTCCAACACGAGAAGGAGCCGGGAACTTTTGACCTCACTCTGTTACTATTGCACAGCTCCGGATGGTTAGTTTAGTGAAAAAAACATGTTGACTTTCAGGTAACAAAGTCACTGCAAATCTCTCAAGGCTAATTCTTGATGACAACCACTGTAAATACACTGCAACATGCACAGAGCCACAGCCTGACCCTATTAAAGGCAGCCCAAGTTTCACCACTAAATTCAGCAGGACTTTGAAATGGTCCACAATGAGTAACATGAAGTGTGATCTCAGTTCATAAGGTAAAAAAAGGATCAAGAAGCATGTGAACAGGATACTGTATTAACTGTAAGGAGAGGAAATTCATAAACCAGAAGGGTGCCAATATGTCTGCTTAAAATGACCTGTGAATATCTTATAAATAAGGTCTCTATGATCTGCTACAGAGCAGCTACCCTTTCAGAAGAGAGCATTTTGCAACTGAAAAAGCCTCTTATATTCATATTTTCATAAGTTTATAGCAATTGATACAAAAATGAAAACAAGATTAAAGACCTCACAGCTGTACAGTTTAATTCTGTTAAAATTAACTTACCAATGCTTTTGTTTTTAACCCCAAATTCTTCCCCCAAATTTCTACATTTTCTACAGCCCTAAGCCACAGAGTTGTGCTGTCCTCCCTACTCTGCAAGCCTGGAGGGAGGGACAGGAAAACATACAAAATCAGCCTGAAAGGTTTTGCAATCTTTGCCTTGTTACAAGTGGCATGGAGTGACCCATGTTTTGTTAAAAATTAATGGTGTGCCTTCTTAAAGCACTCTAAATAGAAATATGGCACCTGCGCCTGTGGCGCTCATATTTTCATCTAGAAAATCCCAGACAGAGCTAAAACGTACAGTACTTTTTTCAGGGCAATCGCAGTCGGCTCTCCACACCTGTGCTGCACACACAGGCTGAAAGGGCAGTGTTTACGTAGTGGCCATTTTTCACACATCTCAGCCAGAGAGGCAGAGATGCTCTGTCGACCAGGCGATATCTGGATGGGAGGTATTTCTAGGCACAATCCTAATGCTGCTACTATAGCAAATCCACACTTACCAGTTAGTACAGTGCCTAAAACAAATTCTGAGCCTACTGATTTAAAACCAGATCATCTCATACTGATACCATCCCTGTGCATTCACAGGTCAGCTTTCCACAGGTCAATAGATCCCAAACCATTTTTGAACCGAACAACAGCTTTCACCTGTGGTGTAAAATATTTTGAGGCTAAGGACACGAGGTAAGAGTTGCAGCTGCAAGCTTTGCAGCCTTCTACGAAGATCAGCTCAAACGCAGGGTTACAAGTAAAGAACAAGCTCCCAGGGGCAGCGGGCACACCACCTCGTGCTCCAGACTATGCTCAGCTCCTGCAGCCAGGCACAGCGGAGGGGTGGGCCATGGTAACCGGTTACTTCCAGGCTGAGAGTAGGAAGCTGACATCTTGTATACGTGAACGGGAGACCAAACAGCAGGGGACCTCAAGGCTGGTGTCAGTTTTTGTGATTCATGTCCCATGCCTGAACTTGACAGATCACGAGACTTTTCATATCCCAGGACAGTCTTTGCTAATTGGCATACAGAGAAGCAAAGACTCAGGGGACCTTCTAGTTTTTTGTGGGGTTTTTTGTTGTCTCTTTTTTTTTTTTTTTTTTTTTTAAAAATTGGCACATTAAGAAAAGAAAGGTCTCCATGGAAAGCTAAATCAAAACCCAGAACCTCATTTAGCCTCTCCACTTCCAGACAAGACTGAATTTAAGAATAAAGAGCAAGTGAGAAAGAGTGAGCTTATAAATGAAAATAAGAATGTTTTCATTACCTTTTCGGCAAGCCAGCCTAGATGCCTAATCTCTCGACTTCCAGCAATCCCTGTTTTACCCAGCTGGTCTCTGACCTCTGCAATCACCCTGGGGATGAGCTCATTGACACTGGAGTGGATGGCATTGAACCAGGCCTGGGCTGTAGCTGAATCCTTACTCCTGAGCACCACGGTGTGCTTGGCATCAGGTGAATGAACTTCAATAAGTCTAGAAAAACGGGGGGGGGGGGGAACATTATGTTCACTCAGATAACTGTTAGGTGGCTAAATTTATCGCTTAGTGCTATCAAAGAGTTAAAAAGAAGGATAATAGTATCAAGACCTAGCACTAAAAACTTACCTTTACAACACCTGAAGAGAGCAGGATCATCTTAACTGAAGCCAGGTCTGTACTGGCCTTGCGGTAAAATCCTCGAGAAGGGAATTTGCCAGTGCTGATGCAACCCCACATCTAGCATGTCAACAGGAGTTTCAAATATAAACAGAAAAGAAGCATTCACCCATTAACATTCACCAACATGACAACCACCCAGAACTGCACGGGAGATGACTGCAGAGAAGCCAGGGATAAGCTGCTGCCTTCTTTAGCTGGATATCACAGCACACCCAGAGTTTCTCAATGTTTCTCAAATAAGTATTTTACACATACAGAGATAAATGAAAACCACCCTCATGCCAAATGGAGGAGTTTTCTTAGGACTGCACTGTGGTCTCAGTGACACTACTAAGCATCAACCAGAAGCCCACTGCAATTGGCCTTCTCTAATGTCTTTAATGTCTTCAATGCTCTGTTTAGATCCTGCTAACAGTGGCAGCAAGAAAGTGCTAACCACAACCGTATGTTTGTTGCTGGCAGGCATCTTTTACAGTTTTCCAAACTCTTGTGAAGAGAGATGGGTTTTTTAAAAAAAAACATGCTTACTAGACCATCCTGCGGGCTTCCACCCCACCACTGTGGTTTGAAAAGCACAAACGAACAGTTTTGAGGAAAATGAATCCTGTCCATCATGGTTATGGGACCTGTGCCAACACCTTTGCTGACAACAACAACAAAAATACTTGGAGAGGCAGCTGCAGCTGTTTCAGGTCTGTTCTCAGTGAAGTTATTAGTTATTGGTGGGGCTTTGTGCGCTCTTTATAGCTTTGTGGGCCACTTTTACTTGAACATTTGATAAATAACCCACAAAGTAATAGTCTGGTTTATCTTTATGTAGCAATTATAAAACCAAGCCCTGGTCATTGCCTGTCACTCAACTCCATATCACACTTGTGCTTTTTCATTATACACATACAGTGACTACCCCTGAATGTTACCCACACAAATATGACCTTGGATCTGAGCCTAAGCACATACTTCTGTCCTGTGTATTGCTGCCCAATCTCTGGGACACACAACGACTCCTTTCTGTAGTAGAAAAATAATTAGTTCAGTGGAATTTATTCAGGTTGAGGTTTGAAACAGTACTGTAATGCAAATATTTGTTATGCAATTGCAAAATCCTGCAATTTGGAGATAAACTAACAATTAAGAGGTTTTAATTAATTGGTTAAACCAGAGCAGAATTCAGAACAGAGGGCAACTCAGTCTGCACAGCTCTCTTGGGCTCGGAGAGCAAGAACTGCTGGTCTCGTGTTTGTCCATTTTGGGAAGGGGAGGTCTCCACGTAGACACTGCTCTAAAGATAGAAAAGGTCATGATTTTCCAAACTCAGCAGCTGAACTGTTCAGGGTCCTAAATCACTGTTTGGATAGCTTAAAAAGTGGGTTGATTTTTCAGAAAGCGCTGACCCAACACAATAATGCATGTTTCCTCAGTAAAGCTGCTGGAGCTCAGCACTGTCTCAAAATAAAGGCTCTTATTTAGCCACTCCAGGATGCACCGAGGATTCAACTTCAGGTATTGAAAGGAAAATTCATTTCAGATGACACAGGTCTGGTGAATAAGAAAACTATGCTTGTAGACAGGCACGATCCCAAACACACTCTCATTTTTCTCTGAACTGTGAGAAAAAGTTGTCTCTCTCATGGTTATGATTTAGCCATTTGTGTCCGATGCTCATTACGATCATGCACAGCTACCCCACCCTGGTCTGTCTTTCCATCAGAAACACTGCTCTCCCACTGCTGTACGAACTTGAGTTTGAACTTGGTTTTGTAGGCAGCTATCAATGGAAACAAATATACAGACTTGGATTTTCAAAGTATATGGTGGTAATTGGTGAAACATTGCTTATTACTTACAGAGCACTTTTTGGCAGGAGATCTCAGAGCATTTTACAAATGAGGTCAGTGACAGTATCCCCGTTTCACCACTGAAAAAGTGAAAAGCTGCATAACCCAGACAAGGCAGGGAATACGCCAGACAAAGCCCTCAGGATTTTCTGCATTCTACCTCCCATTTTAGTACTTCTTTTAAAGACAAAAATTATTTGGACAGCACAGCAGTATTGTGCTGTTTTCGAAAAATGTTAATGCACTGTACGAATTGTGTGAAACAATGCTCTTTACAAAGCCTGTGGTTTCTGTAAGGGAACTCCCACCTCCAAAGTCACTGTGTATCATGCAGTAAACAAAGCGCTGAACAAGGACTATAAAGACTCAGAAGAATGTGTTGCTTTTTCAGTTGCAAAGGAACAGCAGCAAACTTGTGTAATTTATTTTTAAGCTAAGAGTTCTAGCAGGCTTTGTTTAAAAAAAAAAAAAAATTAACTACAGCTGAAAGAGCTTCCAAATGGCATCTTGCATCTCTCCAATTCAGAAAATGCTTAAATTCTTACTTAAAGCAAGTGGATTAACATACAAACAAGTATTTTGCTACTCAGGCCTTCATCAAAGTGTATTTCCCTTAATGGTGGCTATTTAAGTATTTGTACGAGTTCTGTCCCCTAAAATAATGAACATTTAGACAACTCTTAACAGTTCTGTTTAAGGGGTTCTAACTATGCATATTCTAATACACACACATTCTACTAATACATCGATGTATACATTCTAGTATACATATGCACACATACACATACTGAGCCATGCTTGCAAAAATACTCTTAAAATATCATCCCTCACTGACTTCTAATGCGAAGTGACTTCTATTAGTGACTTCTATTTCGGGGACTGCTTGTCGGTCATCAAAGTTTGATGGTGATGCACTAACAACTGCAGAAAGTCTACCTCGTTCCCTGAGCTGAGTGACAGGAAGATTGGACAATACATGCTACACTTCTCAAAAGTGAGTTCAAAATGAGAATAAATGCTGCTTTGACAGCCCTGAAACTGAATCCTTTTATCCACTGCACTGGTTTAGCTCGAGGAATACGTCTGCAAGCATTATTCCTGTGCAAGCTGCTAGCTAGGTCACCTTTTTTATTCATACCTTAAGGACGAAAGTCTAAATCCTCAACTGCCTGAACTCTGCTACCGGCTACTGCTATCAGATCTGGGCACTAAACTATCGTTAGGAAACCAGGTTTGCAGATTTCCATTGAGGATTCAGGACTCCTGTCGCTGCAGTCAATTGGGATGGAGATACTAAAAGAAACTTAAAATCTTCTTGGAAACCCATGAGCTCCGACCGCAATCAGATGCTGAAATACAGTGCTGCATACCTATAAACTCTTCCCTTTTCTGCCTTTCAGCCTGCGCTGCTTTGATTCACCAGTCCATCTGAATGAGGCTTTTTATATAACCGCTGACTGATGGCATTTCCATATTTTTTGAAAAGCAAAAAAAATACCAGTGACCTTAGTAAACTCCAACACTAAAGCACTTAAATGTTTCCAGCAGTCCAGCCATTGTAGCTTTGATTTGTTCCTTGGCTAAACTGACCACCGCTTACTGACTTCTGTTTATCTGCAGTTCAGTGATAAAGTTCCCTTAATTCCCCACTGAATTGAAATATTTAGGGCAATGCCACAGCTGTGTTTATTCTCACACTCCACCACAGTTATGTAAATACTGCATATGGAGCTGCTTCTGATAAAGCCCATACCAACCCAAAGGAATTATATGTTAGCTCTAGATGGCTGCCAAGATGCACGGCATCTCTCCAGCTTGGCAATGCATATGAATGATATCACATTTTCTCAGAGATCATTTGGCAAACCTTATCATAAAAGAGTAATTTTCTCTCTCCTTCTCAAAGAGTCCCACTGAGCCAAAGAGTGTTTCCAGCACCCCCTTCTCCACCCGCAGAACACGAGGGTGACATAAAACCCGGTGCCTCCAAGTACTGTAACTTTACACGTAGGAGGGAGGCCAAAACTTCCTCCCTTGCTTCATCATCCAGAGGTTTTCCTCTACAGAGGATCAGAAGTTGAAAGCAAATGTTTGATAGACCATACTCATTCCACATTTGATAAGGCCTCTTTCTGTAGGAGTGTTGATTATCTAAGAAATACCTTTTATCAAATCTATTGAAAGCACTTCTCCCACCAGCATTGGCTCAGGACCAAATCAGGCACTGATTTACACTTTATGTCTCTTCCCAGGTCAGATTATGCATTCAGTGACTGATTAAAGTGTGGAGTAAGTCCCTTGAAGTTAATGATAAGCTGGAGCTAGAGTTACTTGAATCCATCACGCTACTTCGATTTTGCACCAGGATAGCCAGGAACAAAACACTCTGCTGCTGACTCTGCAACCTTAAAAAGAGATTGAGGGCCAAACTGCTCTCTCCATCTCCTCCATCATTGTCTGTACACGAAACCACAGTAATTAATTTTGTTGATTTCTGAGTGTACAAACACAGGAGACTTTCCAGCATAAGACGGGATTTAGAGTAACACAATCAGCGATTATATTTAAATAATTGTAGCTTTTGATAAAATAAGTAAAAAACCTTGTTAAGGTTCTTTTTCAATTCTACATGCAGCATCAGGAGATGAACCAGGAATAAAATACATTTAAATCAAGCAATAGAAACTTTGGGGTTAGTCTGCAAGGAAAATAATCCATAGAGAGACTGTTAAGACTTGCAACAAATTCCCCAGCATACACTGAAGAAGCATCTTCATTTGATGCACCTAAATGGAGGCGAAAACAATTTTACCAAGTGAGCACTATTTCGTAATCAAGTAGAATTTTTCTATGTGAAAGTCTCTCAGTCCCCTCAGCAACAGAAGGGTACCCGCTGTATTAACAGTTACTTGCTGACTTTCAACTTACAGTGGTAAAAATAATGTAAATACTCATTTCTTTGGATCTGGACTAGTC